TGCCGTCTGTGCCTTGCTGACATACCCCATCAAAACTCGAGTACTCCTTAAGTTCTACCACAGAAACTATGCTCATGACCTACCTCACATCCCCACTACCCCAGGTCTGGAGCCAGTGATTTCTGCAAGGGCTGCCTCCTCTAGGAAACAGCATTAGAGGTCCACACGGGGCGCCGAGGCTGGGATGGTTCATCCACTTGATGCGATTCAGGATCCCCTAGGAGACAAAGCTCTGGGCATGATTGTGAGGGTCTTCTCAGAGGGGCTCATCTGTGTTGGGAAGAACCAGCCTGAAGATGGAAGGCACCATTTCCTGGTCCGGATTCCTGGACTGAGGAAAAAGGAGAAAGCAAACTGAACAGCACCATTTATCTTGCTCCGCTTCCTGATGGGGGATGCAATGTGACCAGCAGCTTCCTGCTATTCCCACCATATCTTCTCTGCCTTCATGGGTTGAACCCCAAAACCATGAGCCAAAATAAACCCTTCCTTCTTCAGACGCCTTCTGTCAGGTAGTGTTGTCATAGCAACAAGAAAAGTGACTGACAATCAGCACCTTTGCTAAGAGGCCTACTTTGTGGACATGGTTGAGAAATAATCCATCCATATATTTATATTCACAGTTATACTTTGATGTATATTAGAAATCGGAATCCGTATCAACACCTGAAATTAAAACCATTCCATAGGAGTCACTTAGCCTTCCCTCTTTTATTTGAACGGCCCTTCTTTCCTGTTGAGAACCGTGACTCTTCACAAGTGAAGGCATTTTTAACTCATTTGTCCTATCATGTAATCAACCTAAAATAAATGCAGAATTAATGGCTGTTTTAGTTAGGGTTTCTAGTGCTGTGACAAAATGCTGACCAAAAATAGCTTGGGGAAGAAACAGTTTGTTTCAGTTTACAACTTAAAAATCTATCATCCAGGGAAGTCAGGGCAGGATCTCAAGGCAGGAATCTAGAGGCAGGAACCTGGGGGCAGGAACTGAAGCAGAGGCCATGGAGGAGTGCTGCTTACTGGCTTGTTCCCTATGGCTTGCTCAGCCTCCTTTCTTATACCATCCAGGACTACCTGCCCATGAGTGACATCGGGGGTGGAGGGGGGTAAGGGGGTGAGGGGTGGGGAGGGGTGGCATGAAGGTGAGGTTGGGGTGGGGGTTGGGCCTGTTAATCAAGAAAATGCTCTACATAGTTGCCTTTAGGCCATGCTTATGGATGCATTTTTCTCAATTAAAATTTATCCCCAGATGCCTCTATGTCTAGTTTTATGACATAAAAACTAGCCAGCACAATCGCATTGTCCACGTCTCTATAAAATAAGGTTTTGTTTTTTTTTTAAAAAAGTCATGATTTTTTTTGGGGGTGTGTGTGTGTTCTCCCCTGACCTTGAATAAGATTAAGAAATAGTTTTGATCCAATGTGATATTTGTAAACTCCTTGGATTAGTTGAATTTCTTTAACCCTACTTTTCAAAATGATTGTCATTAATTTTAAATACTATTGAGATCATTTTCAATTTTAGCTTTCTATTTAAAGTCTTGTTTTTTTTCTTTTTGGATAAAAATAGATAATGTTTTCAGAAGTCAATGTTATATAAAAAGGTCCACTCTGAGAAGTGTCACTCCGTCCTGCCACAGGGAAGTGTAATTCCTTCTACCCTTGGAGTGCACTTTATTACTTCCTAGTTAGCCTTCCTAGATGTCTTTTTGAGCAGGTAAGTAGCTATCTGTGTATTTTGTTATTTCTTAGCCTCAGACTGAGCATACTGAATATGTTCTGTAATTTCTTTTTTTTTCCCCCATGTAAGAATTTCTCTTGGAAATCACTCCAGATCATTCACAGAGGTCTTTTTTTTTTTCATTTAAGAGCTCCAAAGTGATCCATTATGATTATTTATCATAGTTTCTCTAGCTTGGGCATCTGGTTTCCACTCTTTTGCAGCTGCAGGAGCTATGGCAATGGGCAACCTTGGGCACAGCATTCTGTGTTGTCGGGAGTTATATGGTCCTAATAGCTGGTGCTCAGGGTTGGCATCGGTGTGGGGATGGAGAACCAGACAGGTTTCGTGGCCGTTACAAATTCGTTTGCATAGGGTCGCACCGCTTTGCATTCTCATCAGCGACGCAGGAAAAGAGTGTTCTCCACATGTTTGCCAGCACAGTGGTGGAATCATAAACTTTTGAATTTTTGCCAAGTTGTGTGTGAAGTAGTTTCTACTTGTCATTTTAATCTGTTTCTCATAGGAATAAAAAAGGACATTTTTTTATACGTTTAAGGTCCATTTTTAGAAATTTTAAGGGTCTTTGTGGATGTCTTCTGCTCTTTTTTTAAAATCCTATGGAATTTAAAAATTCAAGTTGCCGATTTGGCAGTATATCTTTTGATATGACTTATGCTAATTGAAGACAGAACTACAGAATTCTTGTGGACTAGCCATGAGTTGCACCCTGTAGACAGTCAATCTGTAAGCAGGTCACTGGGACAGTGGCAGTGATCGTAGGAGGTGCTCTGTTTACCTTCCAATACTACACCTGCCACTCAAGGGCTGCCCTGCAAGGGCTACCTACAAGAAGCCAGTAGTGACAGCATTTACCTTTCATACATAAGTGATTGTATGGATCCAATGACTTAACGTGTAAAGTACTTTAAACAGTGCTGGGAACAGCAAGCATTCTTGAAATGTTTCTGTCGACAGTCAATATCATATTCTGTGTGTTGATTTGATCCCATGAAGATGCTTTAGTCTAACATCCTGGAACCTGGAAGTTTAGGTGCATTAGGTGAATCAGTAGGGGACTCAAAGGACTCTGAATTTTAATCCATTTGTTCTTTAATGAACTCATGTGATCATTCCGTGAGCATTTATGGAGGAGCTGCTATTTGCCATACGCTGGTCTAGATGCTAGAGACACGAGAGACTGACTTTGAGCTCCTGCCACCTACTCTTTCGTGGTAGAGGGGGGTGTTTATCTGTTTTATCACTTGCATCCTCAGACTCCCAGAGCAAGATTAATGCATGAAATCAAAGAATGAAGGGACGAGTGACGGATGGGAGAATGAGACCGAGAAATGGGAGGAAAATCGGCAGAGTTCAGATTGTGAAAGGCCTTGTCAGCTACAGCTCGGACTTTATTCCAAGTGGGAATTGTGTGATCCTATTTGTACATGAGAAGTCTCAAACCTGTGGCTGGGTAAAGAATCCACAGGAAAAGGAAAAGCCTTGTTATAGTGGGACTAGGGAGAGATGACGAGCGGGGGTCTGAATGAAGCAACAGGCTGGCGGCGCTGCTGGGGAGGCATTGAGTTAGGGAGAAATTCAGGAGTCACACTGACAATATAAGACGTGTCGGGTAGAAAGGGAGAGAATATAAGAGAGGGAACCAAGTCTGGAATGCATCTCTCTGGTTTGAAATTCAAGAGAGATAACTAACGGAAGGTGGCCTTTTCACCTTGGATTTGAGGTGACCGCCTACGTTAGGTTTCTCTGTGTTCACTGGAGTCAGAGGGTGTGGGTCTGTAGATTTCAGTGTCTGATAGTAGTACTCCCTTGAAGACCAATTCACAGGCAGCATAACTTTGGGGATGACTAACTTTCCTGGGATATCGGATAGGGCACACTCAGTGCCACATAACCGCTAGGAATAAATGGAAACTTGGTCTTTGAAGGCAAAGATGCTCATCTTGGCCATCTTCTTTCATGCCCAAGGTAGACCTGCACACGGCAGAGTGTACAGTATTAAATAGACATCATATAGGGAGAATTATGAAAGCAAATCCAAAGATGGGCATGGTGGTGCATGCCTTTAATCCCAGCACTCGCATGCAGAGATGGGCAGATTTCTACAAAGCGGGTTCAGGGAACATGAAACCAGGACGCAGGGACTTAGTACAGAAGGAGCTCACAATCCGTTTCCCCAAAGATAGAGAACAGGTGATTTAATGATCTCCAGATAGTCAGGAGGCGGTGGTGGCGCCACGGCTTTGTCCCAGCACTCGGGAGACAGAGGCAGGCAGATCTCTTGAGTTCCAGGCCAGCCTGGTCTACAGAATGAGTTACAGGATAGCCAGGGCTACACAGAGAAACCCTGTATTGGGAGTGTTGGGGGGGTGGAATTCCCCAGACAGTCTAACAAAAGCCCCTCTGAAATGGTGCCCTGCAAAGTTTGATGACAACTAATGCTTTTGTAGAGACCTCGTGGAATTTAAAGGTTGTGAAGTTTTAGGCTTAAGAGATCGGGACAAGACAGCCATTTGGACACCTGGGCTCCCCACTTCACCAGAGAAAAGGATTTTCTAATGCCACTGTGGATGTGGTTAAAAGTCCACGAGAATAGGAACTATGTTCCACAAATGCCTCCACAGGTTGACATTTCTGTTATAAAGTTAATCGAACTTCCTACATGATTTCATTTTCTAAACAAAGCACTTTTTTTTTTTTTTTTCACCAGACATGTGAAAAAAAGACAGTTAAGAGGTCAAAGTAGGCTCTCAGAAGCGGATGAGGGAGCTAATGCAAGCAAACTGTAGGATAGTGGTGGGCAGGGCAAAGAAAATATCAGGAGAAGCCAGGCACCAGCGACAGTTGGCAGGGGAGAGAGGGCTGGGGATTGGAAGGCGAGGAGGGAAAGGACGCGAAGGCAACCTCACGTGCAGGGCACGAGCCCGCATCAGAGATGCAAAGAGAATTGGGGCAGGAGGGACTTGGTTCACCGAAGATGCCTCCTTCTCCGCCCTGCGGCAAGGGGGTGTGGTCCCGAGCTCGGGAAGGTGGGGGCGGGAGACAGCGGCGCAGGCCGCCGAGGGTCCCCCCCAATTCTTCCTAGAAGCTGGAAGAGCAGCGGAGCCGGGCGGCAGGCTGGGCCGGGCGGAGGCGGAGCTTGGGCGCCGATGGGCGTGGCGGGGGCGCGCAGGGCGGCGCAGTCTGAGGGCGGCGCTAGGACCCGCAGGCCGCCCCGCCGGCTCCCGGGAGGTTGATAAAGCGGCGGCGGCGTTTGACGTCAGTGGGGAGTTAATTTTAAATCGGTACAAGATGGCGGAGGGGGACGAGGCAGCGCGAAGGCAGCAGCCGCACCAGGGGCTGAGGCGCCGGCGGCGGACGAGCGACCCGAGCGTCGGGGTGAACCACGTCTCGTCCACCACCTCCCTAGGTACGGGCCGGCGGGGGGCCGAGGCCACGGGTGGCCGGGAGTCCCGGGGAGGCCGCGCGGCGGCTCGGGCTGGCGAGCCCCGGGCGCCCGGCGGGGTCGGGGGAGTCAGCGGCTGGCTGGGCTTCGGTTCTCCCGCCGCCGCCGCCGCCGCCGCCGCTCGCGGGGCCTAAGCCTCCGCCGCGCCCCGCGCTCCGCCGCGCGGCCTGGGAGGCCGGCCCACCGGGCCTCGGCTCGCACAGCTGGCGGGTGAACGGGCGGCCCGGCCCCCTGCCCGCCGCCGCGTGGCTGCCGCCGTGTCAGCCCCGACCCAAGGGGGCGGCCTCGAGCCGGGGCCGGGACTCGCCGGGGTCGGTCACCCGGCGGGCACTCCGCTGCCTGCCTTCGGTGTGCCCCGCGCGGGGCCGGGGAGGGAGGGCAGCGCGGGACGCGCTGGGCCCCCGCGGTGGCGGTGGCGGTGGCGGTGGCGGCGGAGGACGCGGGAACCGCTGGCACCTGGCTGCCAGGTCGCAGAGCTCTCTGCACACACACACACACGCGCACACACACACATACACACACACACATACACACACACACACCCTTCCCGATGGGAGCCGCAGTCCGCAAGGCCAGGGCTGTGGCGGCCCGGGCTCAGGTTCCCGAGCTCTTGGAGCGGCCAAACCCATTCGCGGGAGTTGTGCTTGGCCGGGGTTCCAAGTGTTGGCTTAGGTTGTCCAACGGGGGGGCGGGGGGAGGTTAGGAGCCCTGGGGCTGCTCGTCAGTCCGCTTCAGGCTCAAAAGTGTCTGCTGTGAAGTCACCTGATCTGTCGCGCCCCGGGGTTTTGCTGAATGTGAGCTCCTACTGTATGTGTGTGTCCATGGCGCCCCTGCCCCCTCGAAGACGCAGTTGCGCTGGCAGCGCGGTGTTTGTGTGTTGCTCTCGCTCACGGCGCCCTTATTTTTAGGAGTTCAGCATTTGATCTTTTCACCGTGGTGTGACTTGCACGCATGAAAGTCCTAACTGAGAATTGTGATGGTGGTTAAAGGCATAAAGTTTTTTTCTAAAGGCGCATAAATTAATAACGCGCACGATTAGATACGTGAGGTCAAGATAAGAGTATAGTTAGTAAACATGCTGACGATGAGATTGCTTTCATATTTCCTGTTCCACAATCTGATAGAGGTTTTACTGGGTGAAATCTGAAACATTTTGATTAAGTATTAACCACAGACATTTTCTAGAAAACTTTAGATTACACTTCATCGTGTATGGTACCTCTTGGACATGTGTCAGAGGTGAGGATAGATTAGAATTTTCCTATGAGAAAAGGAAATGTTGTTAGCCGTCAACTACAGACACTTGCCAGAACTGTTTACAGGGGCAGCCCTCTGCCCTTGAAAATACTTCCAGAGAGGCTTTTATTTACTTTAGGTGACTGATGGTTTAATATTTGTTCTGGAATGCCGGTGTGTGTGTGTGTGTGTGTGTGTGTGTGTGTGTGTGTGTGTGTGTACACAATTTGAGGTGTAGTGTCAGAAATACTTTATGCTATGTACTCATTAGGAAAAGCGTACATTTGATTGGGTCATGGTTAAGAGCCTGTTTTTATGCTATTGGACACTGAGAAGAGATGAGACTTGGGACTGTTGATAAATAGTCTTGCCCAACATTTATGAAATGTTCTTGTCTGCTGCTCATAGATTTTGGCCTTTCTTGTGGTGTCGGTGTGTGGAAGACTTAGCCGTTCCTATCACATGACCTCCCAAGACAGCCCCCTGCACCTGCTAATTTGCTTCTGAGTCACCTGTTACTGTATTACAGGCCAAATAAACTTGTTAGGATTTGTGGTGGAGGGAAGAACGAACAGGCGTGAATTCCTAGGGATTCCTCTATGTGGATGATGTCGACACTCTTCCTCTCCTTGTGCTGTTTAGAGTAGTAGAGTTGAGGAACTGCGTTTGGAAGTAGTAAAGTTAAGAAGGTGTGTTGGGGGAGCCAGCTGTCTCTCAGTGACGCAGTCTTGGGAAGATGCTCTGTGCCTCTAAGAGAAATGAATTTAGGATCTCTAGAAAACATGTTTCTTGGAAAATTGAGGATCATTTTAGAACTTATCCACCATGAAATATAAACTTGTGGATTTCATAAAGTTAATAGACAATTAAAATAAGATTTTATGTACAAGGAACTTAATATTTTCAAGGTTTCTGGTGTTGATGGTCTCGTATCTCACTTAGATGAAGACAGGAACCTCTGTTATGTTAAGCACACAGTTAGTAACCAGTGAAATCACATAGCTATTCCTTACCTTGGTTTACCGTAGTTGGGGAAATATTAAATAGGAAATTTAATAAATAAGTGACCATACATTTTAAATTGTGTGCTTGTGTGAACTCATGTTAAAAGAAAACAACCCCAGATCATCCTCCACCTGCCATGTGTTGAAGATCAAACCGAGGGTCTCCCAAATATTAGGGCAAGTGCTGTATGTTACAGCCCACCTCCAGAGTGGATTTATGATGCAACACTCAATGAAAAAGTGTTCTTGACCCTAAAGTTGATAGGATTCGAGGATTCTGTAGTTGTGATCAGTCTATTTGATGAGTACTTTTGAAATTCTGTGTAATTCTTTTTATGGGGAAGGGGAGAAGAACCTACTTTACAGTAAAGGGATGTTTATTATAGAGAAATAAGTCAAGAGAGAAAATGAAGTTGTAGCTGTAGGTGGAGTCCACATAGGTATACAGTTTTTCAGGATTTCTTTTTCTTTTTTTAAAGATTTATTTAAAAAGTTGTGTGTGTATGTGTGTACACATGCACCTGAGTACAGGTGCGAAGTATTAGATCTCCTGGAGATGGAGTGGGTGATTATGAGCCACTTTGTGTGGGTACTGGAACTGAACATGGGTTCTCTGGAAGAGGAGTATGCTGTTTTCACCACTGAACTGTTTCTCCAGCCTTTCTGTTTTTGGGGTGGCTTTATGATAACTTTGGTAGAATTTCTGATTATTCCCCAACTGTTTTGAAATTGTTAGACCTTTTCTCAGGTTGTGCCCTTCCGAAGCTGGTACCAGGTGGCTTCTGAGGGTGACAGGAGGGCGACCAGTGTGATGATGCTGGAGTTGAGGACACTTTTTTTTTTTTTTTTTTGGTTTTTCGAGACAGGGTTTCTCTGTGTAGCTTTGCGCCTTTCCTGGAACTCACTTGGTAGTCCAGGCTGGCCTCGAACTCACAGAGATCCGCCTGGCTCTGCCTCCCGAGTGCTGGGATTAAAGGCGTGCGCCACCACCGCCCGGCAGAGGACACTTTTTAAACTGTGGGATGTATTTAAGGATTCTTGGTTATGGGAGATCTGTTTGACATATAAATGTGAGCAAAGCTTTTTTTAAGGCAAGCTCTCAAAGTTAAAAGTCAGAAATGTTGGGCAGAAGTAGAATTACTCCTTTTTTTTTAAAAAATAAGGAGTTTATAAGGAGTGTTTTCTCTGGGGAAGGTACAGAGAAATAATTTTCTCACTTCCTCATCCTTAAACGCTGTGGTATTCTGATACTGTACCATTTGAGGTTTTTAAAGCCCAGGTGTGTTACTTCATAGAAATTGGCATTTTTTTTTAGCCTTAAGGAAGATAGACGTGACCACAGAATAACTGAACTTGATCCCATAATGAATTCATTTCTGAAGTTTTGTCTCATCTCTTATTCTCCTTTGCCACCAAGAGATGGAACAGTTGAAGGCGTTCTCTATTGTTTTAAAAGTGTCTAGTCAGAAAAAACACCAACCTGAACATTTGATGACAACCAGGTACTGTTTGGTGCTTAACAACACGTTTTAACCCCCTGCATTTTATTTCTTAAAGCCCCTCCCTGGGAGGGAGTTCAGTCACTATTCCCACCAGAGGGAGAGTGTGTTGTTTCTCCAGTCACAGAAACTCTTCTCAGGTACTTACTTGATCCATTCCTTACCACATTTAGAGGAGGAAGGGGTCTTCACTGGATTGTCACATGCGATTAGAGATAACTGAATAAGGCTCTGCAGAATCAATGGAGTTTAAAGTGCTAACTGAGAAGGCGTATATGAAGCCATGTACAGGAAAGGTGAAGACAATTCAGTCAGTGTGCTGGACTGTTTTTGTTTGCTTTTGATGTAGTACTTAAGATTGAACCCTGGTCCTTGGTCACGGCGGCAAGTGTGTGTCATGGAGCTATACTAGCGATACTACTCCAGCTAGACTTGAAATTAAAAGTAGTGGGGCGGGGGTGGGGGTGGGTGGGTGGAGGTAGATATTGTGAAAAGTAGAAAAATCAATGAAGGAAGTAGAGCAGTGCTAGTGATAGGGACAGAGAGGTCAAAGTGTTCAGAAGTACAAAGCCCAAATAGCTGTTTAGCTGGGATTTTTCAAGTGATTGTTACATGTATCTATCTCTGTGTTTGTGTGTGCACACACCAGATGGAATTTTGTAGAAATTAGTGATTTTCACTACTTAATCTGGGATAAATGCCTATGCAGTAGTTGGTCTTATGGACATATGATAGCTTCTAAAAATGACATTAAAGTCATGAAAAACTAATTAATAATCTATCATTTTCCCAATGAAATAATATGCACTTTTGACCAAGATGTACATGGTTTTCTGGCTAGTTCAAGTAGAATATAGGGAGTTTACTTGCTGTGGAATAATGCTTTTGTACACTGGTTTAATAAAACGTTGATTGGCCAGTAGCCAGGCAGGAAGTATAGGAGGGATAAGCAGACAAGGAGGATTCTGGGAAGAGGAAGGATGAGTGAGGAGACGCCAGCCCACTGCCCAGGGAGTAGCATGTAATTGCACACAGGTAAAGCCATGGAAAATGTGGCGACATATAGATTAACAGAAATGGGCTGAGTTTAAGTGTAAGAACTAATCAGTAGTAAGCCTGAGCTAATGGCCGAACAGTTTTAATTAATATAAGCCTCTGTGTGTTTACTTGGGTCTGAGTGGCTGCGGACCGGGTGGGACACAGGAAAACTTCAGCTACATTTACT